GTTTAGGGGCTCTCCTTGCTCACCAGCTGATCTAGTGTTTCAAAAATGCCTAGTATATCCTTCTTTCTCCTTAGAGATTCTAAAAGAAAGGAGAACACAGATCTGCTTTAATTTTTTTAAGGAGACAGAACTGTTGATTCACATGTTCCAGATGCTGATTTGCATAGCCACAAATGTATGACTTTGCTGCATTCACTTATGAAAAGACCAAGAAACGTTACTTTGGCCACTACATTTAGTTAACTTGGTCCAGCTGAATTCACAGAAATAATCACTTGTGCTGAGGCAGCAGTGGTCAACAGGCCAGGCTTCCTGAATCCCCTCACTGTTGTCAGTGGTCTAGTAAATGGCAAAATATCTCTGAGACAGTTCCTTGACCTCTCAAATGGGGATTAAATGAGGAAAGGGGTGCAAAGCTCTTAGCACAGAGCTGACACATAAGGAGTCATAGTTAAAGCCATGGGAATTTGGGAACTGAAGAAAACTATTCCTCTTAGGCCAATATCTACTTGGCACTGAAGAAAGAGACCTTCAGAGATAAAGTATGTGCCCAGTTGGAACCTGAAGCCATGGCTCCTGGCTTTCATGCCAGAGCACTTTCCACCATCCCTCAGTTCATGGGTCACTGCAGGGATACATGTCAGATGCTGACTTAGGAAGGCACCAACCCAGCTACCAGGCCAGGAGCCCCGTCCCACATTCTCCTGCCTGTGGACAGTCCACCTGGTAGCTCTGCCCTGAGACTTCAGCTAGAGGGTGGGGGAGTGCACTCTGGGGAGGAGCAAGCCGGGGGTGGCTTTGCCTGTTGTTCCAGGTTTCCATTCTGGATCCAGATGGGGTGGGTGGTGACAGCAAGTTGGTCTTAGCAGGGTTGGAGGAAAATACCCCTTCCTCCGCTCAGCCTTCCCCATCTGCAGAGGAGAGGTGGGTCAGGAATTTTTTCTTTTTTTTTTTTTTTTTGATCATTGACCTTTTTTGAGGCGAAGGCCTACTGTTCTCTGAAAATGTCCTGAGAAAGGCTTGAGCTCTGAGAATCCAGGAACCCTAAAGAGTTGTTTCTGATTATAGGTGGGTTATAGACAACAGGATGGAGCACTAGACCTAGGAAAGCAAAACTTGTGTGGGTCCAGCCACAGCCACACTGCCTCTGGAAAGTACCTTCTAACTGAATTTAAATCAACTGTGACATCCTAAGCACAGACTGAGAACTGTAAAGCTCAGGAAATGAAGACTGCCTTGGGCGGTGTGATGGCATTTGTAGGAGGGAAAGACATTTGTGACCCTGTGCTTCTGGGCGGAACCTGGTGGGGCAAAGATTACTGATCTCCCACTGTTGTGAACTGGACATGTGATGGCAGAGAGAGGAGATGCGTAAAATAGAATTACTGTTTCTATGTGAACTCCATGAAGCAAAACACAGTGAAAGCCGTAGAAGTCCTCAGACAAAAATAAAGAGGGGATTTGTCAAACTCCTAAAGCCAGAGGGTCAAATCAAAGGAGAAATTCCCTCCTAACCCATATTGCCATCTACATCCCAACCCACATTAATGCTGTGACATTAAACAAGTGGAGAGGCTAAGCCTTAGCATTCCAGCCTTGCCTCTGAAGTCAGCACCTGACATCAACTCCCTAACTTGTCAGAGAAGGCAGACTAAGAAAAACAGAATCCTGGGGCCTGCAGGTGGATCTGGTTATTATTAGGTTGGGCCATATGAAATTGTTTTTATATGGCCTACAAGAAAAGGTATTTCAGATTAACTTGTTATTTAAAAGGATCATAACAATAACTTCCATTAGTTGAGTAACTAGATTATGCCCACAGCTTTATACATACCTCATAACAATTCTTTTCCATAATTCATAGAGGTAGATGTTTATCACCTTGATTTCAGGTGAAAGATCTGGGTAAGCTGATAACTTACCCAAGACCGCACTTGTTAGCAAGTGACAGAGCCCTAGTTCATTTCTTGACTGCCTTTTCTTATCCTGCAGAGTAGGGGGTCAAGAATATATTCTGGATTTCCCATATAAGGGTTTTCATCTCCTGTTCATTATATGGGGTCGCTGTATCACCTTGAGTAGGTTATTAGACACTCTAGTCATCAATTTTATTAGGGATAAACAAGCTTAAGAGTAAAAGGTACGTCATAGTATTGCTGCCAGAACTAAATAAAATGTCTGTGGAACACTGAGTTACTGTGTCTGGCACACAGAAAGTACTCACATGGTAGCTATTGTCATAATTCCTTTCTTTCTCAGCAGCACATCACAGAAAGGGCTTCTTGCTCCTGTTTATCTTTGTCTTTTTTTGGAGTGAAGGCTTTTCTCTGTGGTTTATTCTAGAGCGTCTCTCTTCTGTGCTTGAGTACATCGTAGGGAGCTGTGGAAAATGGAAAGTCCTTGAGGAAATCTCTGTGCCCTACCCCTTGCTGGGGAGATGCTGGTCACTGAGGGGCGGGCCTATCCTCACCCTGATTCCGACATAAAGCTCTGATGTGATTTTCCTCAAGGAAGGCCTTGTCCTGCTGATTTTCTCCACCCTCTCCCTGGGAATTCTGGATTCAGAAGGATGAGCTCTCCAGCTTTGGAGAGCTCCCCCATCTTTGGAGACTGGAGGAAGGGCAGGCTGCAAGCAGGAGTCCCAGCTGCTGTTTACTTTGCTCCTCCAAACCCACTTTGTAATCAGCTCTGAAGCTCCCCTAACTCCGCTGAGGGAGATGGGTGTTTCCCTCACTCAGGGCTGTCTGGCTGTCCAGCTCTCTTGCCCACTTCTCTTTCCTGTGTCCATCTGGTTCTAAACTTCACTTGCTCCATCTTCCACTGCCCAAGGGGGGCTGTCTCTCTGTCTCTGTCTCTCTCTGTCTCTCTCGCTCCCCCCCCCACACCCATACCCACCCATCATGACACTTCCGGCTCCCCGTGTCGCCCCGTCTCACCCTCTCCCAGTCACTCCACAAGTACCTCCTGCCCCGCCCCCAGGAAAGCGCCTGCTCCAAGCCGGACGACGACATTCTAGACATCCCGCTGGACGACCCCGGTGCCAACGCCGCCGCTGCCAAAATCCAAGCGAGTTTCCGGGGCCATATGGCACGGAAGAAGATAAAGAGTGGAGAGTGCGGCCGGAAGGGCCCGGGCCCGGGGGGACCGGGCGGAGCAGGGGGCGCCCGGGGAGGTGCGGGCGGCGGCCCCAGCGGAGACTAGGCCAGGTGAGGGGAGCGGGCGCGGCGGGCGGCGGTGTCGCCCTCCCTTGACCTCGGTCCTGTGGAGAGTGGCCCTCGCTCCTGTGGAGAGTGGTCCTCAGGGCTCCTCCTCCCGAGGAACAGAGAAAATTAAGGCCGGACTGGGGGCGGGGTAGGGGGAGCGAGGGCGGAGGGAGGGTGGTAACCTGTGGGAGGGGGGAGGGGGAGGTACTAGACATCCAAAAGATGAGGTGGGTGGGTGGAGGAGGCTGTTGGGTGCAGGGATTCCGAGAGTTCACCTGTTTCTCTTTCCACCCTCCCTCTGCACCACCCTGGACCGAAGAACTGAGCATTTTCGAAGGTAATGACTGCAGATCTGAGGCAGCGGGGTGGGAGCCCTGGGCGGGAGAAAGGGACCTTCCCCAACCTTTCCCTCTGCCCGCCCTCACCCCCTCCCAGCGGGGATAAAATGCACCTTGCGCCTGCGGATTTTCTAAGACTTCGGAACGCCCGAGGCTGAGACCGGGACACACCTGTATCCACACAGATGCTCACTCACCCTCGTTTGGCTGCACTAGCTCAGCCGGGGGTTATAAACACAGGGCGACACACAAGTACTCAGTAGGTTCATTTCAGTTCAGTGATTGGGGGAAGGGAGGTGCCTAGGTGGCTGGGGCCCCCCGGTACTCTCCGCCCTGGCGTCCTGGGGAGCTCAGGCTTTCTCTCTCCTCAGTTCCCTAGGAGAGATGGATGCCGCGTCCCCTTCGCAGTGACGAGACTTCCCTGCCGTGTTTGTGATCCCCTCCTTCCCACCAACCTGCCAGCTTCAGGAGCCCTCCCTGCGTCCCCAGGCGGTCTCCGTCGAGGAGTCGCTAAACACGCGCCCTTTTAGTTAGTTCTCCAATCTAGTATGGTTCCCATTCGCCCTTCCTCCCCACCCTAGCCCCAAACTCCGCGCTCCCGAATCTCCCTTCTCCTGCTTCTCTCGCCCACCTCTCCCCGCATCCAGCATGCAGCTCTGCCTCCGCAGCCTCGGGGCGCTTCCCTGCGCGCACTGCGGAGGGCGCCCTAAGCCTCGCCCAAGTACAATCTTTTATTTATTTTTCTAAAGTATTTTCGTTCTGTGCGCAGTTAAAGAGGGCGCCCTGAGTCTCTGTGCTGTTCCCGATCCGGCCAACCCCAGAATTTTGGATCTGGGGGGAGGGGAGAGGGGAAGAGGGTTTTTTATAGTGTCGGGTACCCCTTCCCTGACCGGAAAGAAAGTCCCTGTTTCACCCCTTGACCTGCCCCACTCCTGCCTGTAACCTGCCCTCCCCTCTCCCCAGAGCACCCAGAGAGCCGCCTCTCCAGCTCTCTACCAGTTTATGCAAACGCCGAGCGCCTGGGAAGCTCGGTGGGAGGAGTCTGCCGAGGCCCCGCCCCTGCCCTGCTGGTCCTGTGCCCCGCTGGGCTCCTGGGGCTGTGGCCGGAAGGTTTTTATCTCCGTGTGTGCATGTGACCGTGCTGGGTTGGAATGTGAACAATAAAGAGGAATGTCCTAGTGTTTGGAAGGTTTCCGAGGGGAGGGAGTTTGGGTGCACAAGACCAAACCAAAAAGTGGAGGTGGAGCAGGGGAAATGGAGGGCAGGACCTCTGTTAAAATCCACCCTTTGGAATTAACCCAACCTTCTACATCCGGCTTCACCTCTGGGACATCAGTCTCTGTTCTTCCCTTGGTGATAGTGAACCGCCTAGAAGAATTTGCAACAGAAAAAAAGAAGAGGGACACTGTATGGTATTCAAAAGCTTTATTTCTTGATAGCCCCCCTCAGAGATGGGTAGAGAAATCAGACAATCATAGGGAGCTTGGATTTGGTGGTTGACACAGTGTTGGCAGAGGGAGGCCTCTCCAGGAGTCCATTGCTACAGTCAGCCCTCGCAGAAGTTTGCTCAGAAATCCCCGGAGCAGTGGCATCCTCCCTGATGGATACAGGGAAACTCTTAGGGATGGCTGGAAGCACCCCTCAGAGAACTCCCAGCCTCTCATGCAAGGGTTACTTACTGTCAAATCATCTATGGAACTCTTTAAAATGGGCCCCACCTCCTTCCTCTCCCCCCACCCCCCAGGCACACACAGATTCTGCTTTAGGTGGGATGGAAAGTGGTGTGACTAAATGTTTAACAAGTTCCTGGTGATTTCTCTCCACCCATTAAGGAGTACCACTTCAATCCCCTTTCTGGACCTTACAGCTAACAACTAAAGTGTCTTTGCCTTCCTTTCCTTAATGCCCCACACTGAAGAGCTAAACTCAGCTGGGCAAACCCAACTCCTGGCATCCACATCCTGTTAAAGTATATAAAAAGTCCTTAAAAACTGAAATGTAAAAAATTTTACGAAGAGGTACAGGGCAGTTTGTGACCCAACTGCTCCACCCTGTACACAGGGTACATACACTGTGTGCACTAAGCTCACGAGATCAGATACCCCCAGCCACCAAGTCCCAAAGCGGACCTGAACAACCCCCCCACCCCAACAAGCACACCTAAAATACCCTGAAAGGTGTCAGTTTCAGGGCTAAAGTTTTCTACCCTTAACCCAAGTCCTCTCCTTCTCCCCACCACCCCAAGCCGGCTTCTGCTCACCGAAGGTCACTGCCCCCATAAGTCTCCTTGGGCCTCTTCCTCCTGTCTTTCTGGATTCTTATCAGGCAGAATGCAGTGACTGACAGGAACAGCACACCCAGGAGCACCCCGATCAATGCCCCAGCCACTCGACCTTTGGAAGAGTCTAAAGAGACATGGCATCCCCAGAGCTGCAGACCTACCTTGTTTCCCCTTCAGAAAGCCTCATGCTGCCTCCCCAGCCCAAGTCAGCCAGCCCAGCCTCCGCCCAGCCCCTACCAGTCACAGAGAGGGTCAGGTCACAGGACGCACTACCCATCTGGTTGGTGGCCACACAGCGGTAGGTGCCAGAGGAGGTCAGGGAGAGATTGGTGAGAATAAGCTGGCCGGACACCTCATCTAGACGGTAAAGAAGTGCTCAGTGATTCGTCCTACTCACCCAGCGCACCTGTCAGGAAGGGACTCGTCTCATTTTATCAGTGAGGAAACTAATTTGAACAAGGTGACCAGAGAGGAAGGGCCAGAGCAACTGCAACTTCTGTTCTCTTTCCACCCTTCCAGCTACCTTTTCAAGGAAGGGGAACCTGTACATCCATGGAGAAGTCAGACAATGGTCATGGGGTGGGATGCTGCCTGGCTGATGTGTACCTGGATGGGGAAAAAAAGGCTCGATTGCTAGAAACTATCCTCTGACCCAAATGCTTTTCTAAACTGCTTACCTTCACTTCAGACGGCAGAGCATGCACCAGAAGGTGATGCAGGGGTACACTTTGAATTACTAGGTTTTGCTGGGAGAGGAGGGCCAGGTGTGAAGAGGCTATGTCAAGATCCTTAGCAGTTACATGATTCCTCCAAAGAGACGGCTGAATGAGTCAATATTCTGCCTCAGGCTCCTTTCTGATGTTAGGAAATGACTCATGACCCTTAAGAAACCCCCCCACACACACACACACACAACAGACAAGTGGGAATCACAGAATGCCCCTGCCTTCCACTTTCTTCCAGGCTATCAGAAGTACATTTGGCTAGTGAAATACTCCCAGGATCACACAGCTCAAGTTGTACAGGAAGGGAGACGGAAAGCGAAGGGCAGAGGTGTGGGGGAAATCTAGTAAAGTCTCTCCTCTTCTCAGGTAGGGAACTAGAACTGCGGGGGTGTGGAGTTTAGAAGCCAGATTTGCCCAGGTCCTAAGTTCCCTCCCTGATGCCCTTGCTCTTACCTTGCACCATGCTGCCAGGAGAAGGTGTCGGATATGACCCAAGGCGTACCCAGTTGTACACAGGTCTGGGGTCTCCCTCGGAAGAGCTGCACCTCAGGGCAGCTGAGCTTCCCACAGAAATTTGACCACTCTTACTGCACAGGGGACTGCTGGGAGGCACTGCAAAAGTCATAGAAAATTAGACCCTTCCAATACTACCCTCCACTAGGTGCTAGATTTCCTGCTTCAATGTCCCCACCAAAGAGTGGTTCACTTCTGTTCATGTACCACTTCATTCCCAAGGAATGATTCCCACAATTTAGAAGTCTGATGGTCAGGAAACTCTTCCTTGTGTTAAACCAAAAATCTGTCTCAATATTCACCCACTGGTTCAACAACAACAAAAAAACCCATATGTGTTAAAATATTTGAAGTAGCATTCTTGACGAGAGCTAAAACATGGAGGCAGCATAGCTCACCTTCAATGAATGAATGGATCAAAAACAAAATGTAGTGCACATATCTATCATGGACTATTTCATAGCCGCAGAAATGATGAAATGCAGCCATTTTCAACAAATGGAAGGGAATTTGAAAAAGTGGTAAGACAGAGCAATAAAAAGCTTTTGAACATTCATATAACAGACAATTTGATGTCAAAGACTTTTTAAAACTACTGGATATCAACCAACATCTCAGGGCTCTGAGGTTGAGGGAGGTCAGGAGGTTAAGAGGGAGAGAAAGGGCCCTCCCTGGTGGTGCAGCTGGTTAAAGCACTAAGAAGCTAAAGCCACTTCCGCATAAGTTGGATTCCCGCCTGCCCCAGAGGAGATCCACATGGCGTGGCAGACCTCTCCTGACCCGCCCCGCTGCTCCCCTCAGCAGTGTACTTCCTCGATCTGCCAGTTCTGCTCCCCACTCTGTCTCTGGTGAAGCCTCTCACCCTCCACATCTCTGGCCTGTACCCCAGTTCCATATGAATAAATAAATAAATCTTTTTTAAAAAAAAAAAAAAGGAGGGAGAGAAAAAGGACATAGAGGATGGTGCTAAGTGAAAAAAATTAAATTCACCAGTTGCTCCTAATTTTTCCCTTCTGGGTCCACAAAGAGAAAAGAAAAATATCTCTACAGGACAGCCCTTCAGATATTTGAGTGCAACTATCAGACACCACCTCCCAATCTTCTCTTTCTCATGTAAACACCCCAATCGCTTTGGTTGCTTCTTGTGCTGGTTCATCCCTGAGCAGGAAGCTCTGAATACAGAGTTGGTGCTTGGCGATGGAGCCTTTTTCCCTTTAACAGCCACTCCCCTTGTCTGCCTGATGACCCGGAAGGGGTGGAATCTGAGCTACAAAGGGGCGTTTCTCCCCAAAAAATGGAGCTTTGGGGTCATGATTCAGATCTCTATATATGGGAAGGGTTTTCTTTTTATGGAGCCCTTTGTTAAAAAGGGACAGTGGGAGGAAGCTTCTCTTGGTGGGTGGAGCAGGAGTATGACCATTTAGATTAGAAACTTTGGGAAGGAAGTATTTTCCCTTGAGGTCTCCATTGCAGATATGTACTTAAGCAGGAAGTGGTGGGATTTTGTAGGGCAAGCACAGTCTTTCAGGGTACCTGGGTAGCTGGTGGGGTCCCGGACTGCCTTACCCAGCACAGTAAGGTTGATTAGCCCCAACCCATTGGTGAAGAAATCTGGTGGGTTGTTAACTTGGCAGAGGTAAGTGCCAGTATCTGAGGGCTGGACATCGGTCAGTTTCAGGGTGGCTACCCCTCCTGTGGGGGGGAACTGAAGAAGGCTGGCCCGTTTTGCCTTAGAGCCAGTTGGATACAGGTTGCCATTGGTGAAGTACAAGATCTGGAGAGAAACAGAAGAGACAGGTGTCCTTTCTCTATCAATTCTGGTCCTTTCTCCAAAGTGGGCAGATGAGATTTCTCCCTCACACCAGTTGGGAAAGCTGATACTCTATATCCAGGAATGTGAATGTCTATGCATCCCCAAATACTCCCCAAGTGCTAAATGAGCTAGAGTCATTGTGTCCAACCAAGTGTGGGCCCCTCGATTTGGAGGAGAAATTAATGTAAATACTCCTCAAGATGCAGTCAGTCTATTATCCTACCTCCAATCACATAATTTAGCACCCATGGGCTCATTATGTGGAAACTAGGACAGAACGACCATAGGGAAGCTGGATATAGGAACTCTGGGAGAGAAAATTGAATATGCAGAACTATATTTGTGATACAGGATCACACATACTGTCTTTAGAAATCTAGAAAGAGTCCACTTAGCTTTCCATCCCAGCATAGGGACCCCCCAAACACACACCTCCTGATCAGTGCCCTTATGCTCATGGACCTTCCTGCCTCTCAACAGGCAGGAGGGCCCCCCATTTGGCACACTTGCTCACAGGAAGGGATGCAGAAATGGGCTTCCCAGGCTGTACGAAGCTCCACTCCAGGGCGAAGCTGTCTCCCACCGACGTGCTGTAGCTGCAGCTCAGCTCAGTTGTCTGGCCCACCGGCGTGCTCACGGGCTCGGCTGGAACCTTTACCTCCACGGCTAGCTGGGGAGCTAGACACACAGGGAGGCCAGCAGACGTAGTGCCCAGGCCAGGCCTGGTGGGCCAGGGCTGGGAAAGCAGCGTGGAGCTGGCCCCCAAAACTGGTTGTCCTAGTGCCTGGCCAAACCGGCACCTTCTACAAGTGAGGTGGGGGCTCCTTGTCTCCCCAGAGCACCAGCGTCCCCTCAGTCCTTCTCTTTTAAAAGCCTGAGGTTTCTGTCAGGGAGGAGCCCACAGCGGGGCCAGGATTTTGTAGGTAAAAGGACAAGACTGGGCCAGGTATGAGGGTGTGTTAGTAGGGGAAGGGAAAACAATAGGCCTGTGGTGGTTAAACCCTCCTGCTAAAGAGGCCCAGCAGGCCCTCCTGCTGGCTGGCTGGCTGGCTGGCACGCCAGTTTCCTCCACCCTCCCAGCCTTCAGCCTTCTGGGGCCCCCTCCCCAATCTCATCCCAGCCACCTTCCTGGCCCCATGCTTGCAGCAGCCCCAGTCTGCCAGGCAACAGAATGGACCCTGAAGGAGGAAAGTCGGGCCTCTGCATGCACCTCAGGGCTCCTCCGGGGTCCCACCCGCCCGTTCTCTCTGGACCCTCCTTACCGCTCATGCAGACAAAGCCCAGCAGTGCCCCACGGAGGAGAGGCCCCAGGAGCTGGGCCATGGCCATGTCCTGTGTCTGTCTGTGGGCCTGCGTCTGGGGTGAAGAAGGCAGCACCACAGGGCAGGAGCGAAACTGGCTATATCTCAGAGCAAATAAGGGGAGAGGCTGGCACCCTCAGGTAGGAAATGCTCCTCCCTCCTCCGGGCCCAATTCTGGAATCATTCTAGTTTTATTGTTTTCTTCTGCCCTCTTCCCCCCAATTTCTGAAGCTGGGGAAAGCCCCTGGGGAGAAGCCTGGGCTGGGGTGGGAGGCAAGGAAAGGGAAAAATCAGAAGTGGAGTTCTGTAGGGAAAATGACCTTGGAAAAGGTCTGGGGCGGGGGTGGGGGGTTGGGAGGTAGTATCTGAAAATTGGAGAGCTGGAAAATGGCATCACCATTTGGGGGCCTCACTCAGAGCATGACCCTCAGGCCCAGACCCTTTCTGACCCTTCTGCGATTGCTGTTCCCTCCGAGGCCCTCTTCTTTTCTCCTTTGATTTCCCTTCTTTGGCACTTTCATGGACAGTTGCTGAGGATAGTCTCCATGGAAACTGCAGTGGGCTCCCCCTCCCCCTGAGAAGGGAAACTGAGGCTTGCTGAGAGCCCTCCTAGATAGGAAAGGATGTCCCAGAATTGTGAGACCCTCTCCACCCTGCCCCCCTCCCCCCACCTATGCCCAGCTGTCCCCCAGCAGAAAGGTGAGTGCTGCTGGCTGGGCAAAATGTGTCTGTTAAAATTCCATAGTCTGGAGGGCAGCAAAATCAGGCTGCTCTCCCTTGCCCTGGAGAGGAAGCAGGGGATCAAGTGGATGCATAAAATTCAAGCCCGGAGCATTCAAGCCCCAGCAGGAAGGGAACCAATTTCTTCTCCTTGGTGTTTAGATGGGTCAGAGTCTTCTCAGCTCCGGCTTTTTTGTGCTTCTCCTTTACCATTGGACAGTGAACAACCCTTTTAAAGGCACCTGAAGAGCTACCCTAAGCCAAAAAGCCAGAGGCTGTGTGGAGACACCCTCCTGTACTCAGCCTGAGTAGGGGTCCGCTTTGCATCCTGGCAAAGCACAGCTTCTAGGAATTACAAGTTTGAAAGGGGGATTTGACTTGTTTTCCATACAAACACAATGTATTTTTATTGAAATTTGTAAAATAAAAACAAAATACACATTTCAAGTTAGTTTAAAAAGTATCTCCCTTACCCCAACAAAACCCAACCAAGCCAGCAGGACAGGTTACATTCATGTGGGGAGCTGGAGTGGGATGAAAGGTAGTGTTAGGTAGGGGAGAGGGTACAGATGGCAGGGCCTGGGGGACACACGGCCTGACAGTGCCCACCAGGGTCCTAGGAGGACCCAACCTCAGCTGCATTTGCCACAGCCTTAGGAGGATTAGGGAAAGGGAAGGGTGGAGGGGAAGACTTCTTCATTCCAGGTCCACTTCCTCTTCTCTTTCTACCTCCTGAAAATGTGGGTCTTAGCTGAGACTCATTTTTCACATAGTAAAGGACAATGAGGGCAGAAGAGCAAAGTCTGGAGGTGGCCATCCTCCCAAGACTTCGGCCTCTGTGCTAGGGGTGACCCCTAGAGGGAGAAGGGAAACCAGATGACAGAGCCAGCAGTGACTCAACTGTCATACCAGAGACCCAGCCTGACTCTGGGCGGGCACCATCACTGGGACACCTCCCATGCGGCCCAGAGCAGAGGAAGAAACCCCCCCAGGATTGGGGGATATTGGTCGAGGGTGGGCCTCATCTGTCCTGCTTAGCGCTGGTGAAGGTAGGACCTGACTGGAGAGGCTGGCTGTGGGGGTCAATGCACCAGGCCTGGGAGGGCCTTGGGGTGGCCGGAGGGCTCGGGCCGAGGTAACAGAAGAAAGGGTCCCATTCTTGGAGATGGTATCTGAGCCCTTGGACCAGGGCAGGGTCCGGGGAGCAACTGCATCCTCCCTGGTCATCAAAGAAGTGAGAGTCAGAAGTTGGCAGAAGGAGGAGACAACTTCTATTGGCTTTACCTCCCTCCCACCACCCCCCTCTTCAACTTCATCTCTGCTCTTTCTTAAAACCTGCCTGCACCGGCCCTCCCTGGTGGCGCAGCGGGTTAAAGCACAGCACTGAGAAGCTCAAGCCACTTCCGCATGAGTTCGATTCCCACCTGCCCGGGAGGTAACCACATGGCATGGCAGACCTCTCCTAACCTGCCCGCTGGTCCCCTCAGCAGTGTGCTTTGTCAATCTGCCGTTTCTGCTCCCCACTCTGTCTCTGGTGAATCCTCTCACTGCCCCTGAGCCAATGGCCTGTACCCCAGCTCTGTATGCAAATAAATAAATCTTAAAAAAAAAAAAAAAAACTGCCCACAGGAAAGAGGTTTCTGCCTGGCCTTTCTAGCAGCGAAGCTCTGCCTGCATTCCCAGCCAGTGTGGGGCTGGACACCAGGGTCACTTACTTGATATCATTAGCCCGTTCTTCTAGGGCCTTGCCCTGGCGGCGGCGTTGGTACAAAAGGACCAGCCCAACCAGCAGCCCCAAGCCAAGCAGGGTGCCCACAACTGCTCCAGCAACCACTCCAGAGCCAGGCCCTGGAAAAGCCTGAATGTCAGAGGGGACGCCCACTGTGCCCCTCCCCTCCCAGACCACCGCCCCACTGCCACCATGCACATTCTCTTACTTTCCCTGTTAAGAAGAACAGTGGCTGTGGAACAGAAAATACTTAGTCACCAACCAAACTTTAAGCCAGAACAAGCCCCTGGTCCTGTTACCACCACCACCAGCCCCGCCCCCACCATGGAAAGCATCTCCTTAACCACACTTACCCCTCACTGACCTGTGCTCACTTCCAGGGTCACATTGCACCGGGCACTCCCCACATCATTGTGGGCCTTGCACACATAGACTCCAGACATGGATGTGGAAAGGTTTGTGAGGTTTAAAGACCCCCGGAAGGCATCTGTGGACACAATTTAGCTGTCAGTTCAGGAACCCTTTTCCTCCTTCCTCTTCCCTCCAAATCCTGCCTTTCCTCTGGGATGTCCTTTTTGGCCTGCCAGGGACTTAGTTGTCTGTTCCCTGGTGGAGAGAAAGGGACGGACAGGCAGCAAGCTGGGGTCTGCTCCCAGCTGCACAGCACAGCTCCCACTCTCCATTTCCACCCCTGAGAGACTGTGGTATCTGAAAGTGAAACACAAATGACCCCAGAAAAACAAAACATTTTATTTCAATATAGCAGCATGGTGGGAGACAATGAACATTAAGCTAGGGGTTTCTGTGTTCCCCAATAGGGCGTAAACCTTTAAACGAGCTACTTGCTAGCCCTGAGTCCCTGTTTCTTTCTCCATCTCTGAAATGGGAGCATATGTTCTGTTTGATGCTGTTAAAAGGAATATATGAAATAATCATTATAGCAATTAAAGCTTATTAGCAGCTTATTCTTGCCAAAGACTAGTTTGTGTGGATTCCCTTATAAAATTGTCACAAAATTTTTTAAAAAATGAAACTTTTATTATAAAATTGGGAAAATAAAAATGCACCTTCTCACCACCTACAGTGAATAATTACAAACCTATTGCTATACTTCCTTATCTTTCTATTTTTCAAAGGCTTTAAAATTTTTTTTATTTGTTTTTGCATAGAAGAACTGGGGTGCAAACCAGAGGTGTGAGGCTGAAGATTCACCAGAGACAGAGTGGGGAGCAGAACAGGCAGCTCTACTGAAACACACTGCTGAGGGGTGCAGTGGAGAAGACAGGAGAGATCTATCTGTGCTATCTGAGTCACCTCCGTGGGAATGGAACTCAAGCCAGCAGGTTGACAGTGATAGCTCTGAGACTTAACCCCTAGGCCACCAGGGAGGCCACTCTTTGGAGACATTTTAAAATAAAGACCTCAGCATGAATCTCAAAAAATAAGGACATTGCCCCACATTGCCACAAAACCATCACCACATCTCATAATATAGTAACAATTCTCTAAAAGCATCTAATCCACTGCATTGAAAATGTTCCATTTGCTTCCAAATGTCTTTACAGCTGATACGTTCAAATCAGAGCTATAGAAACCCCTACTTTGCAAATGAGAAAATGGAAGCCCAGGGTCCACTGCTAGTGAGTGGGCCAGCTAAACTGGAAAGCAGACCCGGGGGCTCCAGAGCCTCTTCAGCACCAAGTGCAGAGGAGAGCACCCAACAGGGACGCTCTTCCTCCACGCCATGCCCTCCCCACCATCTCTTCTCACATTCTCTTCTCCACATGCCCATTGCCTCCCCTTTTCACCTCAGTCCCTCTGGTGCCTTTCTGAGTACCCTCTTCCCCCACCCAGCCACAGTCTCCAGGTCTCCAGAAATTCCCTCACCTAAAACTGGTGGAAAGAAAACTTGGGGTGATGGGGGTGGCCGTTCCCACTGGTACTGGGCATCAGGCTTACTCCTAGGGGACCGGCAGCTCAGGGTCACATTGGTCCCCACACGGGGCACACCCAGGACACGGCAAGATGGAGGAGCAGGAGGAACTGGGGAGGAAAAACAGGTTAAAAGCTTGTACCCGAGGAATAGCAAAACCCCTCTCACCCCGCAGGCCCATAGACTGTCCTCTAACCCTTCTACTGAGGGCTTTGGGAGAGGGGCCTGCCCGAGCTCCCCATTGGGGGATCCCCACAGGCTGTCGGAAAGTGTGGGCTTCTCACTTACCGAGCACATTGAGTTCTAACGTTCGGCTGGTGCGGTGGTCCCCGACTTTGCCTTGACTGTCTTGCACATTCACAGAACAGTAGTAGGACCCGGAGTCTTTCTCTCGGAGGCCCTGCAGCTTCAGGGACACGTTCTGGGAGGGCATGGAGTAGACCAGGGATACTCCAGGCTTGCTTATGGTGGCCCCACGGATGTACGCCAACACCTGCTGTGACAGATATGCACTGTGCCCAGGGACCCGGCTCACCATCTCTTGCAACTGACAGTCTTCAAATATCACTGGCCTGCAGTTCCCCCTATCCCACCTGTACCAGCACCCCAAACACCCCCTATCTCCCCAGCTGCCCTCTGAGTACCTCTGGGTCCTCTTCACCAGAAAAGTCTATTTGCCTCTGCACTGTCTTCCCCTTGGGGGAGAGGTGAGGGGTGATGTATGAAAGAAACTAAAATTGTAGGGTAGATCCAGGTTTGACAGGGTCTGAACTTATATAAATGGAAAAGGTATGTGTGGAGGGGAGGCATCTTCAAGAAAAAGAAGACCAAGAAAAAAAAATTTTTTTTTAACTAAATGACCTCGTGAATATACTTTCTGGGGCCTTGGAAGGTGCTCAAGCAAATAAGGGGCTCCAAAAATTGTTTCATGTGCTTCTGGGTAAATCTGTGTCTAAATGTAAGTCTGAGGGAGGATAGATGGGAGCCAGAGGGAAGAGACTACCCCTTACCTCTCAAAAGAGCAGAGATGGGGCAGCTGAACTGATTAATAGTCGTCTGGGAAGAGAAGGGATCTGTCACCATATCCAAAGCATAGATTATGCAAACAGAAAAGAGGCTCATGTTTCAACACTTTTTGTTACTTGCCTTAAACCCCACCCCACCTTCCAGCAACCCCCAAACCTCACTTTACTATCCCTCACTTCTTGTTACATGTGCTGGATTTCTAGGGAAAGTAGCAAAAAATTAAAAAATTAAAAAAAAATTCTGGAAGTCTTCAACATCAAAACAAAGATCAAAATGGTGAAGAGGACCTTGCTTTTCTTGGAGATCCTTCCCAGCCCCCCAGCCCCAACCATCCCCCCCCCCATGGGCAGCTCTTTAACATCCCCCCACCCCCATCACCCGTGCACCCACTGGCTGCAGCTGGCTTCAGGCCAAGATGCTTTCCTCCCTCACCTGTTCCTGGTCCTTCCCTTTCTGTTGCAAGTACCAAATCGCAGAGAGCACTTCCCAGGGCTGGGAGGAGGGCTCCTCCAGTTGCAGGGTGTACCACGTGGGGAGCACCACATCGGCTCCCTCCACCACCTGCAACTTGGTGAGGCCAGGAGGCACGTGCAGCTGCAGCTGGGCCCAGGAGGGAAATGCTGGGGACAAGAACGAGTGAACTGAGCGGCTTATTCTCCATCCCGTCCTGCCCCCAAGAAGCATGAAGCTCTCTCTGGGTCCTGCCACAGGAAACTTGAAGACTGACTAGGGGCTGCTCCCTTAGTACTGTGCTTTGAATTTCATCAGAACTTATTCTCCCCAACCTCAGCCCACGGTTTACGGCAGGATCAGCACATCCTTACACGCATTTCATTTGTATTCAAAGCTGCAGTTTTCAGTACGGAGAAGGGGAAACAGATTTCCAGAGAGGACGTGAAAGACTTTCCAAGAGAGCAGACTTTATACTTTTGATCTACTTGCTATGTAGCCCATTTGGTCCCCAACTTGCCCTGGGGACAGCCAAGCGAGAGTAGCTAGGCTACTCAGGATGGCAGGGTTTGTACCAGATGGGCGGAGGGGGGTGGGGAGGCAGTTGGTTAAAGATTAAGCCCGCGGTTCCTTCTGTACTGCCAGGAGCCACGAAGCCCAATCTAGCCCAGTAACTGTAGTGCTCCCCAGATTCCCCCTCGGTCCCAGCAGGAGGGCTTCCCCAGAACAGGGGAGAGTTAAGAACCAGGAAATTCCCAAGGTCCTTTTTTTGAATCCAATTGATCTAAATGGGTCTTAGGAGCTGGCAGAGAATCTTGGCAGAACTGGGCATGACTGAAGTTTCCTTATTTATAATCTAGAACAAAGTTTCTCTACGTGTGTGTGTGGGGGGGGGGTGGCCAGGAGGTGGGCTGGGACGTTGGTATCAAGGGGGGTATTCTTCAATCAGGGCTTTCAGAAACACTGGCTCTCCAAAGGAGCAATAGAGCAGCCCAGTCCTGGGCCACTAACCTTGAGCATGTACCCCAAGAGGCCTGAGATGCTGGCCATCCTAATCCTTGCCCTTCTCTTCCCTGGTCTTAGCTCTCTGCGCTGGAGTCTGAGGTGACACTTTTGCTGGTGCCCAAGAGGCCCCAGCTAGGTCAGACTCTCAGCCCTGCTAGCCCTGGGCAGAAGGCCTCTAAGGTCCAGGCGCCCATCCCTCCAGGATGCACACCACCCCCACCATTTCCCCCTGCACGTCTTTATAGAACCTCCATCCCTATTCCTTGGCCTTCAGCAACCCCCTTCTACTTCCTGACAGATCCCTGTGGGTTGGGCAGGAAACTTGTGCCCAGTGATAAGCCAGAAGACAATGACAGGGAAGGGGGGCTGGGGACCGGAGGTTCTACAGGCCAAAACAACCTCGGCCTCAAGGAGCCGGACCCCCCCTGGGGAACCGGCCAGTTTGTCACTCAGTCCAGCAAGGGAGGACAGCACTGCCGGCTGAGCCTGCTCCTCCTGGCCTTTGGGCAGCACACTCCCCAGCGGCCAGAGGCAGCTCCTGGAGGGAAAACTGGATCCCAAGAAAGGCACAAGCTTCCTTTGCCGTAGGTGCCTCCAGCGACCTCCCCCAGCTCCTCTTTATAACTTCACTTCACAAAATGTACAAGGGACCTGGAGTAGATGGTGATGGACACCCTGAGGCCTACAAGCTCCCTGTTCTATGCCCTGAAGACTAGAAGCTGAAGAGCCTGGGGGTCTGCAGGAGCAGAAGTTCCCCCCCACCCACCCATTCCTTTTTCACTCCCGGGGTCCACAGTTTCTGGGGTGGGATGTTAGGCCAGAGTGAAGGAGATGGGGAGCAGTCAAAGAAAAGGATCCTCTGGCCCACTCTGAGACTAGAGCGAGGGGGCAGGCAAGGGCCAGAGTAGAATGAAAAGGCCTGCTCCCCAGGGCTACTATTTTTAGTCTCCCTGGTTCTCTGAGAAACTCCCCCTGAGGACTTCTCACGCCCCAGAGGCAGCAGCCTAAGCAGAGACTCACCCGGTGCCGGTCCTGCACTGCACAGCCCAATGCCTGCCTAAATCAGTGGGCCCCTAGTGCCACTTAACCGATGAGTGACCGACCAGCAGGAGCTTGGCAATTCCTGAGGGCAACTCCTGGGGGCGGCCAGGCTGTCCACATGAAAACTGAGGTCAGGAAAGGAAAAGCCTGCAGAAATGCTGAGAGGGCGCCCAGGCAGCAAGTGTGAGGTTTCTCTCTTGCTTAGATCTCCAACAGGAAGAGGGGTGGGATACTTGGGGGGAACTACAAGAGGGGAGGAGTGGCAGAAACTGAAATTGGGAGAGAAGGCTGAGAAGCAGAGGGACCCAGAAGCAGGCCCACCCAGCCTGGGGGCAGGAAGCTGACCAGGCAGATGGTGGGGTGCTCAAGCTCCCCTTTCTCTGGGGACCCTAATAGTTCCCTGCCTCAACACCTGTAGCACAGACTGGGTTAAAGGGGGCACCGGTGAGTGTAGGCTGAGTTGGGAGCACCCATCACTGAGGCTGAATTTCTCTCTACATCTTTCCAATCTTACCTACCCTGACCATGTCCAACCAGAGAGAAATGAGAAGTGAAAGCTGACCTCACCACACCCATCCTTCACCCCTCCTGTGATCCTTGAAGAGGGGTGACAAGAGAACCTGGGAGGCAGCCAAGGAAACCTCTTATGATAGGCTTGTTCCTGATGGGCCTTGTCTACCCTGATGTTGCACTCAGCCACACCAGTTTCGCCTGGTGCTCCCCAGAAGCCTTAACACTCAAGTATTGCTCTAAGAAGGTTTCAAGCCTCAAGACTCTTCGAACACTTGCTCTAAGGTTTCCTGTGGAGAAGCAATTGCGTCACAGCCAGGAGCACCTGTGGAATAATGGTGAGATCACGATGACCACCAGAGTGCTGAGCACACTCGTAAACAGGATCCGAAAATGAGCCTCGAGGTTACATGACCATCGGCCAGACCTCCCGGGATGAACCTTGGGCCAGTTCTTTCGGTTCTCCTAGCTAGACTCATCATCCAGACACAAGGAATTTCCTTCCTGGTGTGGGCAGAGGTGGTTAACGTTCCTCGGAAATCCTTACAATGCGTAACTTTTATTCTTACCTTCGTAACGATGCCTTCATTTGCGAATGTCTAACTTTCTTAACGTGAGCACTACCTGCATGATCTAATGCCACATACAGTTTTCACAGATGGTTAGTGTAAGTCAAAACAAGGTCTATGGTGTAATGTCACATTGATGTCGTGTTTAGAATGCTTTCTGTATTGTCTAATGCTGAGAAGATGAAAAAAAAAAAAAAAAGGCCCAGGAAAATAAAGATTGACACTGAATTCCTGAGCTCAATCCCTCACTCAAGTTCCTTGACTCAATTCTTTCTGCGTCCCAGGTCTATGATTCCCAAGATCCAGTTTCCTTCCTCACTGACTCTTTGAGGTCCTCCACACTATTTCCTTTTCCCTTTGGCTCTGGGAACCAATAGGGGGAGGTAGGACTCTGGTGGGTGGGGGTGGGGGTGCATCACAATTCTCCTTTAGGCATATGAACCCTTCCTTCATTTCCTGTGTCCCAAATGACCTCACGGTCGAGCTTGGGGCACCTCCCTTGATTCCCAGGGCAGGAAGCAAGAAGGGGAAAGGAGGATTTGGATCGAAGAATTGAAGTACTTAAATTAAGCCTGGGAGCCAGGGGATTCCCTGGGGGCTCTTGGTGAACAGCTCCAATGTGGAGTGGGGAGAGGAAGGGGACAGAGTTAAGTCCTTAAGCTCTTTAGTCGGTCTCTTCTAGCAGCTCAGCTCATCAGGCTCTTCTGGTTATAGGTGGGGAGTAAGGGTGAGGAGTGTTTTCGACGCCTAACTCTAGAGGTTCCAGGTTTACATTTCCGCACCCGAAGCACCCAAAAGGGGGTGCACCGTTCCCCCACACGGGGGGGGGACCAGCCAGCATCAGTGATACCCTGCCGGGGGAAGTGGCCCGGCTAGCTGGCCACCCGGACCTTCGAATCAAATCTACCCCACCACCCCACCGCCACCCTCGGGCCACCACAAGTCCCCCTCCACCCCCGCACCCCCAGGTTTCACTCACCGAGGGTACTTAGCCCCAGGATAAATAACCGCACCAAGTTGGTCGCAGGGGGCCGGGGTAGGAAAACCATGGCCTTCCCTGGCCCCGGCAGAATCAGGGGCGCCCGCTCCAGGACACAGGACCGGCAGGTGCGGAGGTCGCGCAGGCCACTGACACCGAGGGCGGCTTTCGACAGTCTGTGCGTGTGTGTGGCGTGTGTGTGCCGGTGGCGGGGTGGGGACCGACAGGGACAGCGGGCGGGGCATTCGAGGGGGCGGAGAGGTGGCGGTCCCGCGCGGGCGGGGCGCGGGGTGGCCAGCCGCGGGGAGGTGCACCTACAGCTGCGACGCCTGCATTAGGGCCTCCCCCCGGGGCTGGACGCCGGGTGAGGTCGGGCCAGTCGCGGTGCCCGCACAAGTCGGCTTGGGACAAGAAGAAAGAGGTCCTGAACTCTTACGGCCACTGTAGCCTTCCCCGCCGGCCAGGGTAGGAAGGCGGACTCCAAGGGAGATTTGGAGATCATCTCATGTCCCGGAGCCACCCGCATTATTTACACGGTAAAAGGTCGAAGGCTCTGGCTCAGCTAATCTGCCCCGGACTTGCGAGAACTGCGTCCTCAGCCTAGGCAGGGAGGCCTTCCTGGAGGAGGAAGAGCGGAGCTGCAGGGTGCCCGCGCTCCACCCTCAGCGGGGAGAAAGCGGCAGCCAGCGGGCCCCCGTGCCAGCCGCGCAGGTCCGGCTCTGCGGGCCCAAACGGCCGCTTTCCAAAGTCCCTGCCTGAGGAGCGGAGTGAGGTTAGCGGTGGGGAAGTTCGCGTCGCGCCTGGAGCCCCGAGCCTTGCCTCAAGGAGGCCCTGGGCGTCGCCGGGAAAAGGTGGACGTGGGGGCTGTCCTCACTTGCGGGCTTTGGGCGGGATTTCGGAGTCCCCCTAAAACAGCCCCAGCGGTCACTTGGGTATTTTGTCTCTTTCTCCAAGGTGGAAAAAGACCGGCGTGAGGACGCCCCAGGAGCTGAGCGGGAAGCAGCTGGAACCCGAGCCACATCCCCATCTCTACAGCGAAGAGCTGTTTTTAGACCTTAACTGACCGGAGAGCGTGGGGCGGCTACGGGAAGGTAGACTGGATAAGGCCCCTCCGGTAATTTGCCACTGCTCCTTCGCATCTTCCCATCTCTTCTCAGGTCCTCTGTGACCTGAGATCTCGTTCGCCGTAGGTTTAATTTAACCGCACCCCGACCCCCTCCCCCCGCATTAGGTCCCAGGCACCATTGCGCCCCCTGGTGGCTGCAGCTCTTCCCAGTGTGCACACACCTGTCCTTGCTTCTGTCGACAGCCGAAATGAAGATGCTTCGAACATCCCGGCACAGCTCTACCACCGAGCAAAGGCCGCCGAGAGCAGTAAGCAGAACCACGAATTTCTGGCGCTGCACGCTCTCGGTGCCAGTTGACAGGGGGAAAAAGCTGCCAGGCCTCTTGGTTTCCACTTATTCCACCCAGTTCTACTGTAACACTTGAACGCGGTCCTTGGACCTGCACCGTACAAGGTCTTGTTCTTCACGGTGCCCCACACCTTTTCAGCTGCTGCTTCCTAGTGTGACTTGCCTGACTGCTCTTCAAATACCTGCCATGCAGTGACTTTGGGAAATGCCAGTGCAAACATTACTGTGTTCATGCAACCCCTGGAATCTGATACGTGGCAGCTCAGGAGTAGCAAAGGCAACAGGGCTAGATACCCGCCAGTCTCATACTTTTATGCACAGACCTACAAACTTGGGATTGCCAAGTAGATGGTGTGTGTATGGGAGGGGGTCGGAGGGATGATTGCCGGTTTGGCTTTTTTTTTAAAGACTTATTTTTCATGCATACAGGAACTAGGGTGCAGGCCAGAGGTGTGTGGGTGGGGGAGTGAGAGGATTCACCAGACAGAGTGGGGGGAACAGGTGGATTGACTGACATGCGCGTAAGGGAGCAGTGGGTGAAGACAGGAGAGGTCTGCTGTGCTATGTGGGCCAGCTATGGGTCACCTCCCTGGCTGGGGATCTGCTAACAGCCTCACAGTGCTGACTTAACCCCTTGTGCCACCAGGGAGGCCAGGTTTGGGTTTTCTATCACACGCAAATTTTTCTTGACATTACATGGCAAACCACCTTCTTTGTTTCAAACCATGAAGTCACCCCCAAAATGTAACTCCTTCCAAGAAAAGTAAGACAAAGGGCCTTTGGTTATGTTCTAGAACACCAAAGCATGTCACTACACAGGCTGAGCTCATCCCTACCAAGTGCTACTTAATGTCCAGCCTCAACATTCTTAGTTTTTCCTGCAGAATGTGGGTCCTAGATACTCTGTGACATTGGAAGTGAAACTGCAACCAAAGATCTGTCAGCAGTGAAATGTTACCATGTGTCACAGGGCCTGTCCCTTCTGGATTCTCACTGTCCTTATCCCACTCAAAAGGTTTTCCATACTTTCTCCTCTTCCAACCACTTCTGACCCTGGGGCCATCAACTGGTAGAAGTTAGGGAAGCAACTCCACTACTTTCTGAAGGTTTCTGCCAAGGTGTACTTTAGAGTGAACAATGCACAGCACCTGTGTTAAGAGAACCTTGGCCCAGATGAGAATCCTGGCCCAGATGAGTGGAACTGACTGTAGAAAAAGGCTGCATGCAAGGAGGGTTAAGTTCTAGTTCCGTGTTAAAAGATGTGCAGGTTGGCCCTCCCTGGTGGCGCAGCGGGTTAAAGCACAGCACTAAGAAGCTAAAGCCACTTAGCTTCTTAGCCACTGAGTTGGATCCTTGCCTGCCCCAAAGGTGACCACATGGCGAGGCAGACCTCTCCTGACCCGCCCGCTGCTCCCCTCAGCAGTATACTTCGTCCATCTGCCAGTTTTGCTCCCTACTCTGTCTCCGGTGAACCCTCTCACCCTCTGCATCTCTGGCCTGTACCCTAGTTCTGTATGAATTAAAAAAAAAAAAAAAGATGTGCAGGTCATCTGTGTTTCTTCCAATCACGTCTTAGCTCACATTCTTTCTAAGGCTGATTCTTTCCTTTGAACACATCTCCTCCATCCCTTGAGTCAGTTTATGACTTGACCAGAGTCCATATAGTCCACTTAGGTTTTTAGCCATGCTCAGAGTTATCTGACACCCTTTTCCAGATTGTTCTGGCCAATATTCAGTATCAGCAAGATACTTTCTTCCAAGCCTCCATTTTCCATTGTCTTATTCCTCAATCATCTCTAGTCAACTGGTGAAAGTGAAACCCAAACTGCATCCGTTTTTGCCATCTCCTCCACGCTGCTCATAGCCGTCTAGCAATGCCTTGTTCTCAGGGCTGCCAGGTAAACCTCCAACACCCTCACTGCTCTGTCCAGCTTAGTAACTAATGAACAGGAAGAGGATAACAGAAAAAAATGTACGAAGCCTATTACTTTTGGGGGTGCCATGTGGTGTTCCTGATAGTAAAGCTATTTTTCTACCGCAGTTAATACTGAATATTCAAGCTTATTGCTGTGAGATGTTAGCTCAGCCACATTAGGATTAATTCTCAGTTCCAAAGAAGAGAAGCTATAGTCCCTACCTACAGACTGTGCATGGAAAAAGAGGTAGTACATTTAAACACTCCCAAAGCACTTATACTCCCCCTAAATCAGAAACCAATTTTGGCAATTCACATCAGAAAACAGCTAACTCTATAAGCCTAGACTCAAGTGACACTAGCTTTTTTTTTTTTTTTTT